CACGTAGTCGAAGTATGACTTTAGGTTTCTCCGTGCTTTCCGCTCCAGTTTCATCCCGTACACCTGTCTACACACATTTTTCAATCTTGCTGTTTGTTGCCGTTCCGCCATGTAGTGTAACAGAAACCTGTGTCCTCCGGTCTACATACAGCGTCTCTTAACTGTCTCTTTGTGTCCTGGCGCTAGCCCTAGACAAGCACGCCACCACGGGGAGTTTCTTGCAATCCAACTCTCCGGAGGGTGTCAATTGATCTGTTAGGCTCAAAATATGACCTTTTATGATGTCCCATTGGGCGGCTACCGGGTCCAACTCTCCCTCTAATGTCCAATCTAGCGTTCCATCTTTGGTTTGGAGGTCCTGATGGTTGATTTACTGTCATTAGTGCCGATATTTTTTGGGCACGGGTTGCCCACCTAGACTCATGCAAAACTCGAATAGTCCATGATCACTCTTACCTATTGGTTTCTGGACCTCTAGATTCTCAACCTCTGACGAGAACCTGTTTATCAAAAGGTCAAGGGTCAAGGGAGGTTGCCCTTAGCTCCAGGGCGTCTGTTGACGGACATGTTATACTAGGGTTTTTCTTGTGCCATACCCACCAGGAGTTCGCCAAAGCTATCTCTTGGGGCAGTACTGTCTTCCCAGTTAGCCTCGGGGGCTTGGAAGTTTTCCAGCATTAGTATGCTCCAGTGGGACTCTGCTGAATCGCGTAAGAGTGCATCCAGAGTCTCATCTCCTCTGTGTGTGGCTACAGTGCTGCAGTAACAGCCCGAGTTGGCTATTTCCCTATGGAAAAATTTCGTTATTGTCGTCACCACGTGGAGATAAGGTGTGATTATCCGCGGAACGTCGTATTGTTTGTAATGCTATTCAAATAACAGGAGGACAACACCGCCCATTCTACCATCCTGTGTATCAACCCTGATCTCATGTAGCCTGTGGATCACTGAGCCGTTATGCTCTCCAATGGTTGCATCCACATTTCAGTGAATGCAATAACATATGCACCCCGAGAACGCACCGTAAGCTCAGGCCATCTGTTCCCTATGGTTGCTGCATTAGTGTAGGTGACAAGTGTTGTGTTCGGTCTGAATATCCGAATGACACAGGTGACTTTGTTTAGCCCCCAACGATAACGCGGAGAAAGAACACAGCTGGAGACAACACTCAATGTGTTTTCTTTTATCCAAGGTCAGTGTGAATATCTCTTTTTGAATAAATATCAGTACAAATATAGAAAGAACGAATCCCGCATACGAGACCGACGCAGCAAAGCGCCAATCAATCAAATTGCGTTCATGACATAGCGATTGATTTATTGATCGGTTGGACAAACATTGACAGGTTTGTTCCCATCGGGCTAAGCTTGCCTGGGGGCGTCGCCAGCATTCATGTGGCCCGACAGTGATTTTGGTCGAGGGGCTTTAACTTTTTGGTTCGATTCAATGTGCGACCCTCTTTCTACCCGATTTTCCCGGGTTTTTCTTTAATTTTAAAACCGTCAGAGATGTTCTATGGCGAGCGAGTAGCGGGCTTTTTCCTCTTCTTTTATAACTGGGGTCTCTCTTGAAGTGCGCCTCTCAGGTGACCCCTGTATCCGGTCTACTAACGTCGACTACAGCAAGAAACCAGTCCCGGTGTCTCGGGTTGGTGAACTCTCCCAAAACGTGTCTGGATTTATTGTCATTGTTTCTACCAGTCTGCATTTTCCTAGACGCAGTATCCTTTTGATAGCAACATAACCAGACAAATTTGCACACCTGAGTTAACCACTTGATATCTCATAGCTCAGTCCCTCAGGTGTCCACCTTCATGAACGGTTCAGGAATCCCTCTGACAACAACATTCCTGTATCTTCTCAAGGCCAATTCACTTGGAGCTCAGACAGGATTTTGGCTATATTGTGGAATTCCTTTACCAAAGCCGACACTTTATCCTTTATAGTCGCTGATCCCTTCCCTAGCCCGACACCTTGCTGTGGTTAGTTTCCTCTCTTGCCTTTTACTAGCTCTGGGTCTTTTGTTTTTCTTCTTGTTCTCAATTGCTTATAGCTCAGCTGCCGTACTTGGCTTATTTACCGCCTCCAGTCGCTTCATT